TATGCAAGTAGAGCTCAAGGTGAGTGCAGGGGAGCTGGTTCTCTCCTCCCACTGTATGGGGTCCAGGGATCAAACTTCAGACTGCCAGTTTGACAAGAAGCACCCTCTGAGCCAATATTTAACGGCTCCTAAATATCAGTTTTAAAACAAACAGCAAAGTGATCTCACGGTTTCCTAAAATTTTTTAGAAGTTTTATTTTTTATTTTTCAAGTCAATGGGACCATATAATACAAAAGCAAATCTGTAAAATCTGGGATCCTTTCCTCTATACCCCATCTTCATGGCCAACTTAATGGATTCCCAACAACTCTGTGAAGAACCATGGCAAAACAGACCCCTGTAGGCAGAGTTTTTCATCCCACCAGCCTGGTTCCATATAACCGCACAGAGACTTATTATTAATTATAAATCCTCAGTCGATAGCTTAGGCTTGTTGATAGCTAGCTATTGCTATTTAAATTAACCCATATTTCTTATTTATGATCTACCATGTGGCAGTTTCTTTTTTCAGCATGGCATATTCATCTCCTGTTTCCTCTCTCCATCTTGCTGGTGACTCTGCCCTCCTTCTTCCCAGGGTTCTCTTTGTCTGGCTCTCCCATCTAACCTCTTCTTACCTAGCTATTGACCAGTAAGCTCTTTATTAACAATGAGAACACATCTTCACAGTGTACAAAAGGATTACTCCACAGCAGACTCCTCCACCAGATCTGTCATCTAGAATAATATAGATAGAAAATTAATCACTTAGGGAAATGCAAAAAAAAAAAATCCTACTTTTAAGAAATTTAAAATTTATCACGTGAACAGACAGAATCGAAGACAAACAAATAATTAGAGAGTTGTTATGTGGTACTGACATTGTACATAAAAGCACTTGAAAGTGGGTTATTTCATCTCTTTAATCTTTAACCTGCAATGCAGAATTATTTTGTGAGTAGAGTTACATAAACACAAGCCCATACAGCATGGTTTAAGAAGCAAGGGGCATGACCTATCTCCATCCAGTAATATTTCCACACATCCCGCTCTGGTGCAGTTATCTGTGAGACCTCTAGGCCCTAACTTAACTCGTGTGTGTAAATATTTTCCAGATGAGAGATGAAAGAACTTAGGAATACAGTGTGGTCAGTATCAAATCAGCCTTGCCCATGACAACTCACACCCCACCTTCCAGAGCCTGATTCCCCGTGACCCAAGAGCTAAACCAGAGGGAACGACGGATAACCTCTGCCTTGATCCGGTCCAAAACCTTAGCAGTAGAACCCAAGAATCTTTTTCTGCTGAGTCCAGCTCTCCCTCCCAAAGACCCCCCCCTACTCTCTTTCATCTTTCCGTGGCCTTGACATGCCATGCCAGAGCTCCAGCAGCTACGGCTGAATCACTTCTGTTTGAGGAGGCTTCTCTCTGACATTCACTGACACTGACCCACCCCTTCTTCTTAGAGAGTTGCAGGGTTTGAAAATGGGCTGTTGATGGTAACTTGTTTACGGTGATGAGAACGGTTGATTTAGGAGAGCTGAGAGCTGGCTTTCTACCTGGATATTTCTGTTTTAGCATTCCCTCACAAAGACAAATACTTAAGAGGAGGGTGTTCTCAGGTAAGGAAAAACTGTTTTTGCCCTCTCCGGTATACAGCATCTCACCTCTTCTTCCTTCTCCATCCCTTTCCTCCCAGTCCAGCCTTTTGTTGAAGCATATTTCTTTCCTGCTCTAAGTCCACTCCCTGAAAGCTACCTTTAAAAACGATTCTTCCAAAAGTCCACAGAGCCTCCCAACCTCCCTGAGGAATGCACATATCCTTCGGGAAGCGGTTTCATGTATTATCTAGTATCTGACTGATGCCCACCTAAAGACAAAATCTACAGGGAGAGCTGAGTAACCACGGAGAGGCTTCACACCACACACTCTTAAGACACAGCATTGATTATTGTCACAGAATACAGTGAAGATTGGGTGGTTTAGTATGAGCATTTATTAAACAAGAATATCTGCAGATCATTGCTGACTCATGAAGGTTAACATTCCAGAAAGAAAATGTACAATTCATTGAATTCTAAGAATCCTTGACTCTGATCTATACCATGAAAAATTTTATTACCTGTGCAATTTCCAAGTATCTGTACTATAGAGGATATAGACTATAATAATCTAACAGAGGATTTTCTTTAAAATGCAATGACCCAATGTCAATATTCTCACCAGCCATTTTGTTACCGACTTGTGTAAACCTGATGGACAGGTAGCCAAATTAAACATTAGATCCAGTTACCGAACCAGTGAGACGGTTCAGAAGTGAAGGGTTCTCGCCTCCAAGCCTGACCACCTGATTTCAATTGCTGAAATAAATAAATAGTGAAAAACATCTAGTTATCAAGAATTGGTGATATAAAACTTATCTTTAATAAAAATAATTTCAATACGATAGCAATTATTATATTCAGAACTGGACGTGATGACCCATACCTGTAATCCCAACACTTAGGTGCCTGAGACCAGCAGGGTCTTTAGGGTGAGACAGTACCCAAAAGGAAGAAGGAGTGGGAGGAAAGCAATTGGTACATTTTAAGTTCTACGTTATGATATGGGAAAGGAGAAATTCACTTAAAGGTATTACAACTATCGAGCCCTACTCCAGTACTACTACATAATTTTAGGGAAATTTTTACATACCCCATTAACACTCTCTGCCAAGTCAGGGTGAAACCTATGTAAAAGCAATATGTAAAACACAAACAAAATTCCTTTCCTGTTATTTCATCCTCCCAAACTGTCCTTCTAACTATTCCAGTACAACCAGCAGAGGGAGCACAACCATTGTTTTTTTGAATGTGTTCCTTAAAAAAGGAACCTTCTTTTCCCCCTGGATTTTCAGGTCTTCTACCATGATTGGCAAAACTCATAAATTAAAAATATTACTTGCCACTAATAAATTGTCTCAAAAGTTATTTCTATTAAACCAGTGTTAAAACATTTTCTTTTTTCTTTTTTTGTTTTTGTTTTTGTTTTTGTTTTGCTTTGTTTTGTTGAGACAGAGTTTCTCTGTGTAGCTTTAGAGCCTGTCCTGGAACTCACTCTGTAGATGAGGCTGGCCTATCCTCTAAATGCTGGGATTAAAGGTGTGCACCACCACCACCCAGTGAAACATTATTCTTTACTAGTGTTTCAGTTATGAAAGTAACGCATATCTGGTACAAAAGTGAAACAAACCCAAAAAGACTGCTTAAAAAGTTAATAACCAGTCTTCCCTTCTGATCTACATTATAAGCAGGCTGGTATGTGTCTTATACCTTCTTATAAAATGTATATGTGTATGTGAAAGTGCATCCTATGGAGAAGTGTTTGTTTCCTATCCAATACTGTAGAGTACCTTCAGGAGGAAAAACGAAATCAGCACAAAGTAGGGCGTATAGTACGTTCACGCTCAGAGGTCAGGATCACAACACTAAGTGATGCTGCTGCCTTCCACGTGGAAACTGAGCATACATAATGCATGTGGGACGAGAATAACAAACATGGAATCCAAATATACAAGCCCCTTCTCGAAATGTGATGAAGAAGAATCGATGAGTTTAATTCGGAGTTACAATTGATACTGCTAATATCTTCATAACACAAAATGGCAGCATTGAACAACCACTTCAAGTTTTTTTTTTAATGAAGTCAAAAGACATTCTAGAAATTTTGGAATATTTTATAAATTCTGATCCCACTGAATGATAAACTGTTTCTGCTCAAAGGTACACAGAACATATATGTTCATTATTTAACTAAATGACAAAAAAAAAAAAAAAGATGTAGCAGACTTTCCCCTGTGCCATAGGAAGATGTGATAGAGGTATGAAAAATTTGCATTGGTATAGACTTTAAGGTCAATTTTGTTATATGTATATGTATTTCTGATCTTGATTAAGGTATTGTGATTGTGTAGTTCATTTAAAAATGTACTGTATAATTAGGAAATATAGGTTGTTAGTGGATAATCATTGATAATAGTCAAGCTTGTAGTCATGTTAATTAGATTTTCTAGATATATGGAGATATATTTCAGATAGGCATTCTTCATAACTCTCAAGGGCTGCAGAATATGGCATTTAAAATATTTTAATAACTTAGGACTTTTTATGACTATGAGACATGTCTGCTCCTGGCAGCACCAGCTACTTCGAGAGGAAGATGGGCATCGAAGAGGATCGTTATGGAGTTTGATAGCCATTTGGACAAGAAACTGCTCTTGCCTGGACTGATGCATAAACTGGACATAAAGAACCCGCAGAGAAAGGACTGCTGAACTTGCCTAAAGGTGAGATGATCTTTTGGGGTTCCTGATTCATTAAAGAGTCTACGAGACATTCTGCAGGACACAGCAGAAAGTGAGTGAACTGTCTTTGGAATTTCCTACTTGATGAAAATGTCTGCTGGATACTATAGGCCTGAAGGCTGAAGATGGATGCCCCAATGGTACAGAGGAACTTTGGGTGACTGTCCAGGCAGCGAGATGTCTCTGTCATTTCTAGAGTTTTGGACTTCCTGTTTACTTAGGTATTATTATATCCTTCTGGAGTCTTTGATGGAGTTGAAGAATGAATAGTTATAGTTTTCCTTAGTTATGATAAAAGATAAAATAGATATAAATATTGTAACTGTAATTCTTGCTTGATAACTGTTTTGCTATATATATGTAATTTTACTATGTTAAAATGAAAGCCTTTCTTTTTTGTTTAAACAGAAAAAAGGGAAATGATGTGGGAGTGATTTCTTATTAATAAAGAAACTGCCTAGGCCCCTTGATAGGCCAACCCTTAGGTGGGTGGAGTAAACAGAACAGAAGGCAGAGAGAAAGAAGCTTAGTCGAGGAGTCGCCATGGTTGTCCCACTCTAGACAGACGCAGGTTAAGATCCTCTCTGGTAAGCCAGCTCATGGGCTACACAGAATATTAGAAATGGGTTAGAACAATATGTAAGAGCTAGCCAATAAGAAACTGGACCTAGCCGGACCAGACAATGTTTAAAAGAATACAGTTTCCGTGTAATTATTTTGGGGCATAAGCTAGCCATGCGGGTGGCCGGGTGCCGGGGACGCAGCCTCGCCTCTCCTATCACTACAAAGATGCCTTGGATTTCTGTATGGATTCCAACTCTTATCCCATATCATCCCTTTGCAAAGAGTTTCCTTTAAATATGTGGTCCGGGGACACAAGTACACATGAGAGGCCAAAGTCTCATCTAGCCAACTGCTACCTCTGTAGGTCTGTTTCTGAGCCCAGTGAATTTGCTGCAGCAAGCACATCCTTTTCCATGACTTTCCAAGCAGCCCTAGAACTCCGGTGCCCTCCCTGTTTGTCTCTGGCCCTACTAGAAATGGTCTTCACCATTGTCAGCTGTGATGAACTTTGATCCCAAGGTAGAGCACTAAGGTCTTCTACATAGAAAAGAAGGAACTGCTTTGGGAAAGGGATGGAGGAAGGGACAAAAATAAAGAGGGGAAACTTACAAGGCTAACAGAGGAAAGATCTTATTGGATTACAATGTGTGATTTCTGGAGGAGAAGGATGTGGTTAGTGAGCTGTGGCTTCCTTCCCAGCTCCTAGGAACAGAAAAGATTATCTGTCTGATTTGTGTTTTGTTACATTTTCTTTGCTGAAGGCTTTCAATGTGCAGGAAAATCTTCTAGTAACTACACTTTGTAATAAAGTAAGAGAACACACATAGCACCATGGCCTTCATTCCTCATGATGGAAACCAAGGGCTACGAGGTCAAAAGCCTGGCTCAAAGTCACAGGAAAGGCAGTTGCAAAAGGAAGGTTCTTGACTATGTCATCCACAAAGTCAACACAAGCATTCTAGATTGCTCTCTTTTCCCTTCTCCGGGGCAGAGTGACAAAGTCAGATACTGAGTGTAAATGACATCACAGCTATGGGAGTGGCCGCAGATCAAGAGTCCAGAGAGCAAGTCTGCACAGAGTTCTTTCCATCCACATTCCCTGTCTCACCCCGAAATGTGGTCCGAAGTCCAGAGATCCCCAGAAGAGGCACTGCTGAGGCTGTGGGAGGGCACCAGCATCTTTGTAGTTCATTGAACCAGCCACTTTCTGAGCATCTTTTAGCAAAGGAAAGGCTAGGACACAACGGGACACCATGAGTCATCTGAACAGCTGAGTACTGACATTTCAGAGTATTTTAAGTGATAATTCACAGAAAAGTCACACCATTATTTATAAACCCTGTTTATAAGCCACACAAATGTTCAAGGAAGCGTTTCTGAGTTCAGCCAATCCAGTTCTCTGAAACATGTTAATACAGTTCTCAAGGAATGCCAGCGAGTCACGTACATCTGAAGCATCCCATGTTGAAAGGCAGGGAAAGTTGTATCCACACAGGTTGAGTATGAAAATGGGCCATATAAGGAAGAACTATGTATATGGAAACCACACCCACTGCTGAACTCACTCTTGCAGCAGCCAAGACGGTGGAGATGTACAAAGTGCACTGATCCAAGTGTGGACCACAAGCTTGGATTGGTTTGTGCTACCCTAGCTGGGTTCTTCATCATTCATACAGCAACCATGAGAGCCGAGTTTCACCATCTTCCTGGAGATAAACCTCTCATCACAAATATCTAATTACCAATAGATAATCTTTAACAAAATCAGGAATGAAAAGAAATTCATTAGTAATAAGACAACAAACCCCTCAAATCCATCATTTCTCATCTATTACTAAGTGGTGAACAGCAATATTTTTTAAAAGACTTTAGTGATCAAAATTTGTTGTACAATGGGATGTATTTTATAAATTAAAATTTATAAAAAATGTTGAAATTAACTGTTTATATTTAAATTGATTGAAAATCAGAGAGATACTAAAATATGTTTCTTTCTTAACCCTTAGTGTACATGTTATGAAAAAAAATCTAATTCCTAGAAAGGTATACTGTGACTTCTTGGAAAATGTTTTGTTATATTTTAGAAAATTCTAGAATGACTTCTATTATATTTTTCATTAAGGATAGAACCTGTTCTCACTATTAGGCCTTTATAAAACAAACATCATCACAGAAAGAGAACAGTTTTATATCTTGTGTCCCTACAGATGTTTAACCAATGGCGAAGAACTCAGGTTGTCCCATCTTAGCTGGAGATCAAATGCATCTAAGGCGGTGCAAAGAGCGCACCCCAAGGGAACTGAGAAGTGGCAAACCACTCTTTCTGAAAAGAGCAAACGGCCTTCATGGTGGCAAATGCCCTAGATTGGAGTTCGGAAATCAGGAGCCTGGAGAAAAAGTGCTGTGTCATCAGATCTCCAAAACTGGGGGCTCTCAGAAGAGCCGTGTGCAAGTGTAGATCCAAAGCCCCCAGGAGAGCTACTGCAAATGGCTGGAGGAAATAAGCGCTACCTGGAGAATCAACGGACCCATTTGATCAATACTTTAGAGATGGTCCCGTGAATACTCTAAAGTCATTTTCCTTTCAAAAATAGGGTGAAACAAATAAGGTTGCAAAATGAAAAATTCAGATAAGAAGAAAAAAATAACCAACACACTGGTGAAAGCCTAACATTGGAAAGACAAGCGTTTAACTGTTAAATCATCCAAATTGTTTTGCCAAATTTTGACATGCTTGGTTTCCTGTAGTTAAAAAGTAAGTTTAAAAAAAAATAACTTTCTCTCTCTCTCTCTCTCTCTCTCTCTCTCTCTCTCTCTCTCTCTCTCTCTCTCTCTCTCTCTCTCTCTCTCTCTCTCTCTCTCTCTCTCTCTCTCCCTCTCTCCTTTGAAGAACGTGAGGAAAATAAGCAGCTGTTCCTTGTATAGTTCAGGAAGCAAGTCTGATTTATTACTTTAAGGTTATTTTTGAATGAGCTGCTTGTGGCAGGCAGAGCGCAGAAGTCACTGAGGCCTGTCCACTTGAAGGGCTCAAACTGTTTCCTGAACAGCCCTCCTTCGCTCCTCACCTCCGAGGGCTATTATTGACGACGTGTGACTGGGGCCTTCCAGGATTTTAAAACAGCAGGGGTCCCGGCTGAACAATCGGGCTGTCAATTACCTTTTCCCCTGTTGTGAAAGAGGGGCCCAGGACAATGCAACTTCTCAGCGGGGAGCCGTGCAGCTCTTTGTAACCCACTCTCGCAGCATTGAAAACCCAGTAAATGGTTGGTGCCTTCACTTTTGTCTGTGTGTGTCAGTTCAAACCAGAGTTGCTGCAAGGTGTGGGCATCTCCGTGGATGGGTTTTCAAATTCTCGCTAGGGCAAACAGATTCTGGACAAAGTTACCTCGGAACTTCGAAGAAGTTTTCTTTTTCTGAGGTCCACACGGACACAAAGAGCCTCCGGGCTCCCAGCCCCGTTCTGCAGTCTCGTCCGGTCACTACGCCCAGGCCTTTCTACCTATATTGTGGCTCAAAAAACTTCCTGTGCGCATTGATGACTTGCTGTGAGGACTGTCCATCACCCTGTGCCTTTGTCCGGCAGTCACTTCCATTCGAATTTGACTGACTGAGGCAGCCTGAGTCATTTGTAAAGAACAACAAGGCTTTTCATTCATAATTTTAGTAGGGGGACAGGGTGCTAATGACTGCGCTTGAATATCTAGGGAACACAGTATGCAAGGCAGGAGGATGCACCGTGGCTGCCAAAAAGAGGAAGCAGAGGATGTGGGTATGGGCATGGGTAAAAAGCGATGGTCAGAGGATCACACATGTATAGAAAGACAAATCGAGGTTTTAAAGGTGAGACTTAAAAAGATAGAAACCGGAAGGAAAGCAAGGGACTCAGACAGGGTTTCCTCTGCTTTGGGCTTAAATTCCCCCACAAGCCTTGACAAAGTGATTAGACAGGAAGCCATCTTTTCTTCTGCTGATGTTTGTCCTGCAGAAATCCCCCACGCCTTTTTAGAAAATGTTTTCCCTTTCCTTTGGTGGCTGTCACACACTTGGAAAAGGAAGATTTTCTTTCCAGGGTGATAATCAGGTCTGGGTTCCCAGAAGCCTCCGTGAGGGGTCTGTTGTCACATCTGTGTGCCTCGTTAGGATCATGGTACACAATCTTGCATAAACCATGTTTCCAAAGAACTGAATTTGCAAAAATGTAAATTTCTGGTTGAACATTTTGGGATTTATTTTTATTGTTGAAATAGTAAAACTGTAGTTTGGGTTTGTTGGGTGTTTTTTTTTTTTTTTTTTTTTTTTTTTTGAGAAGTGCAAGTTGTCAGACCGGCAATGCATTCTATAGTTCAGTGGTTGGGTGCTTGACTAATACGCCAGAGGCTCTAGGTCAATTCTCAGCCTCTGGGACTGTCCTACCAAAAGGAGAGAAACAGGAAGCATGCTTACTGATTTTGGTAACAACTAATAAAAGTGGAACTTGATTTCCTTTATACAATTGGTGCGTTGGCTGTTGTCTTGAGACAGGCTGTCTCTATCTATAGCTCTATCTGTGCTGGAAGTCAAGTAGTCCCGCTAGCATACCTCCGCCTCCCAAATGTTGAGACTAAAGATATGTGCCGCCACATCCAACAGAACTAGTGTTCTTAGGGAGCACTTGGAGGGACTGAGGATGGAGGTCAAAGTTCAGATCAGCAGTTGTGTGCAGATGTTTCTCTAAGTTCTTCAGTCATAAATTGGAACAAAATATTTTGTTAAAGTTCCTGGAAGCAGCTACAAGTACTGCGTGGTTAAGGGCCATCATTTCATCACATTCTGCTTTGAGATGAGATCTCATTCTCTAGTCCACGCTCACTCAAACCACCATCCTCCTGCGCAGCCTCCAGAGTGCTAAGACTGCCAGGCATGTACTACCACACTTAGTTTTCTTTCATCTTAATAAGCCTTCCACTCTTCAGTGGGGAAACCAAGGCATTAAGATATTCCAGTACTTTCTTTTAATGTTGTTGCTCTTTGTGTGTGTGTTGGGGTGAGGGCTTGTTGAAATATGGAGCGGCGGGGCTGCGTCCCCAACACCCCGGCCGCTTGGTTAGCTCATGCCCGAAATAACAACACACAAACTGTATTCATTTAAAGAACTGCTTGGCCCATGAACTCTAGCCCTTACAGGCTAATTCTCGCACCTGGACTAGCCCATTTCTAATAATGTGTGTAAGCACCCCAAGGTGCGCTTACCGGGAAGATTCTAGCCTACATCCATCTTCATTGCCTGTGCCTCAGAGAGCAGAGCTATCGCTTCTACCCGGGAGAGCTGAGCATGGCGTCTCTGCTCCATCAGAGCTGTCGGGTCTCTCTGGGAGCAGAGCAGAGTCTGACTTCACTTCCTCTTCCGCCCAGAATTCTATTCTGTTTACTCCTCCCATCTATGTTCCAAGCCATGAGGCCAAGCAGCTGGTTTATTATAACTTAACCAATGAAATCAACAGATTGATATATGACACTCCCACATCAAGGGCTAATTTGTTGTGGGGGTTTGTTTGTTTGTTTAAGGTAGGATCTCAGGTAGCCCAGGCTGACCTCAAGCTTGCTACATAACTGGGGATGATTTAGCACTCCTGATCCTCCTGGCTCCCAACTGCTGAGCTGATAAGACAAGGCAGGATGCACCACCCCTGGCTTTTCTAGTACTTCCTATCCATTTCCACCTCAATACTCAACAAGGTATAGATAGAGATGTGAACCCATTCCTGGAAAGTTCCAGAACTAACCCAAAGTAGGTATTGAATGCCATATTTAATTATCTTATTTATTTATATAAATATGTGTGTGTTATAGGAACTTATCCAAAATTTCTACAGTGTTATTTGGGTGCAAATACAAACAAATATGTTTAAATAATCAGATTTGTGGGAGTGTCATATATCAATCTGTTGATTTCATTGGCTGAGCAATAAAAGAAACTGCTTGGCTGGCCCTCAGCTTAGAACATAGATGGGAGGAGTAAACAGAATAGAATTCTGGGCGGAAGAGGAAGTGAGGTCAGACTCTGCTCTGCTCCCGGAGAGACCCGACTCTCCGGAACAGAGACGCCATGCTCAGCTCTCCCGGGTAGACGCGATAGCTCTGCTCTCTGAGGCACACGCGATGAAGATGGATGTAGGCTAGAATCTTCCCGGTAAGCGCACCTTGGGGTGCATACACACATCATTAGAAATGGGCTAGTCCAGGTGCGAGAATTAGCCTGTAAGGGCTAGAGTTCATGGGCCAAGCAGTTCTTTAAATGAATACAGTTTGTGTGTTGTTATTTCGGGCGTGAGCTAGCCAAGCGGCTAGGGTGTTGGGGACGCAGCCCCGCCGCTTCTTATTTCAACACAGATTGTATTGATTAAAGTTAATTTAAAAATACGTTAGCAAAATAGCTAATTTTCTCAAGAAGATCACCAAACCCAATTTAACTAAAAGTATCACTTTGCCTTTTTTAAAAAGTCTTCTTTATTATTTATACAGTATTCTGCCTGCATGTACACCTGCAGGCCAAAGAGGGCATCAAATCTCATTGCAGATGGTTGTGAGCCACCATGTGGTTGCTGGGAATTGAACTCAGGACCTTCGGAAGAACGGTCAGTGATCTTAACCTCTGAGCCATCTCTCCAGCCCCTCACTTTGCCTTTTTAGAGCTTCATGCAGGCTCTCTAGACACTCTGCCATCCCATCCCCACAACAGCCCTACACAGCCCTTCATTATTTCACCCCTTCACTCATTCAACGGACGGAAACGTAGTTTTCAAGTCCACATTCACACCAGGCTCTGGGGATATAAAGTGGTATGCAAAAATGACTCAGGGATTTAAATAGAGTGGAGACAGTCATAGGTAAAAGGATTGGCTGATTCCAAGTACCGTGTCTTTTGAGATAGCCCTGAGACAAAAAAAAAAAAAAAAAAAAAAAAAAAAAAAAAAAAAAAAAAACAGGAGTGCAAAGACAAGAGGTGTTGTCCAGAGCACACCAGAGAATAGCACATTCAATGGCCCTGTTGCAAGAGAAGGGCACCTTTGAGCAACTCAGCAGCGGCCTTCAAGGCTCAGAGGCAGAAAGTGGGAGTGTGTTGGGACAGGATGCTGGAGAAGGAAAGTGGCTGGGTGGTAGGGCCTGGAGGGCCTGGAGGGTATGCGGAGAACTTGGACCTTTATCAAGAGCACCAAGACTCAAGAATTTAGGCAAGGGAGGTTTGTAATCAGATTAGCTCACAGTGCCATCAGCTGAGTCCAAATCCAGGTGTTTTGGCCTCTGTACCCTCTGGAACTTTGAAAATACTTCAACCTTGGGCATGAGATAGGGGTTTGTCTTGTTTGAAGTTTTTTTGTTGTTTAGTTTTGTAGGGTAAGGTGAGAGGAGGATGTTATGAGTTAAAATATGCAAATAATAATATAATTTCTAATTTTCCCATGGACTTCTTTTTCATTGTTAGGAGTTGTATTTAAGGCCTCACACATGCCAGGCAAACACTCTGTAAACTGTGTTCCTAAGTTGCCTGTGGAGGAGTTCAACATCTTAGAAAATATAATGCAAACATGTCTCCGCAATAAAACAAGGGTGAAAAGTTTATTTCTCAAAATTAGTAAAGGGTACTCACAGAGAAGAGAAACTGCAAAAACTGTCCAGTGCTTGGTGACTTTTTCTGTTACTCATTTATTTCGGGGGAAGGGTGGAGAGACTCAAGACAGGGTTTTTCTGTGTGGTCCTGGTTGTCTGGGAACTACCTCTGTTAAACAGGCTGACCTCGAACTTAGAGATCCACCTGTGTGTGGGGGGGGTAATTAAAGGCGTACGCCCCACACCTTTCTGCTACTCTTTCTTTATTTCACCAGTTTATATGACAAATATTACATTCATCCTTGAGTTTTGCCAGACACAAATCCATTCTGCAGCCCTCCAAGAGCGGGATAAGGTACCTGCCATGCTTCTGTACACCCTTTGGCACAAGCCTGCCTGACCGCCTGAGCAAAATCCCCCCCACCCACAGAATGGAAGGAGAAAGCCAACTTCAGAAGTTGTCCTCTGACCTTCCCATGTGTGCTGTGGAACTCACACATCATTCCCCACTCCAGTAATAAACAAACAAACGAATAAATGTAGCTTTTTCAGAAGTGCGGTCATCTCTGCAAACAGTCTAGGCCTTAGAGCTGAACCGACCTCCATCCGGTTGGACGCATGGTCATTCGGTAGCAACCACACAGCCTCTAATGTCGCTTCCATACTTACAGGCCATGAACCTGACAGTGCGGTTCTGGCTTGACTTGTCTAAGCTACAATGCTGCCCATGATGCAACTCTTCTAGTTACGTTCTACATTTATCCTTAAACATTAACTGAAGTGCTAATGTCTTCATTTCAAGTTACAGTTCAGTACTGTGAAAGTTTTTAATTGTTTTTNTTTCTTCTGTGGGTTTCTGGGATCAAACTCAGGTCAGCAGGACTGGAGGCAAATGCCTTTACCCACTGAGTCATCTTGCCGTCCCTGAATTACAGACTTTAAATACAATAATTCAAGCTGAGCGGTGGTGGTGCACGCCTTTAAACCCAGCACTCAGGGAGGCAGAGGCAAGTGGGTCTCTGTGAATTCGAGGCCAGCCTGGTCTACAGAATGAGTTCCAGGAAAGCCAGAGACACATAGAAAATACACACACACACACACACATATATATATATCAGCAGAGGAGGTTGAGAACATTCTTTATATCATAAGAAGGCCATCTTAGAAAAGAGTAAAGGAAAAGGGAAGAGGAAGAGGGAGCCAAAGAGGGGAGGAAAGGAAAGAAAAAGAAATCATGGCGTTAATCAAACCTGCTTCCGTCACTTTATGCAAGACACAGTAATAATATTCTCACAATAGCAAAATGACTTCAATTCTGTGACTCCTTCCCCAAATTCAGTTGGGTGTGGCAGAGCAAGTGTGTAATCCCAGCAATCAAGAGGCAGAGTCAGCCTGATCTACAGTGAGTTCCAAACCAACTAGGGTTACATAGTGAGACCCTGTTTGGGGGCGGGGAGGGGGGCGAGTGAATCCAGGACAGAGGATGTGACTCGGTTGGTAGCATATAAATGGGAGGTGGCAGTTTATACCTGTAAAATCCCAGCACTCCACGGGAAAGGCACAGATATTCCATGTCATCCTCTGGCCACATGCCACCCTGGTACCACTGAGATTTTGTCTGAAAAATAGAGGAAAGAAAAAAAATTAAACAGATACTTTAAAAGAAAAAAATGTATTTTTTTAATTTTACATGGATGGTTGTTTTGCCTGCAGGTATATATGTGCATCTTATACAGGCATAATCTGATCCTCTCAGATCTCCTGGAACTAGAGTCACAGGAGGTTGTGGGTTGCGATGTGGGTGCTGGCAACCACACCCAGATGCTCTGCAAGAGCAGGAAGTGCTCTTCACCGCTGAGCCATCTCTCCAGCTCCCAGACACTTGCTTTTCCAAAATTAAAAGTTGAAACAAATTAACTAATGTAAATTTTTTAATTTAATTTATTGAAAATAGAACTGGAATATTTTCTTTTCAAGAATCAGTAAAGCAAACACAAAAAAAAACTCCTTTCTGGAGAGAAAACAAGAAAAACCCCACAACATTTATCAGACATTTCAGCTATTGATGTATTCTTGTTAGAACCTAAGAAGCTGGCCAGGCAGTGGTGGCACACACCTTTAATCCCAGCACTTGGGAGGCAGAGGTAGGCCATCTTTGCATTCCAGGTTACCCTGGTCTGCAGAGTAGTTACAGGACAGCCAGGACTACACAGAGAAACCCTGTCTTGAAAAAAAAAAAAAAAAAAAAAAAAACCCAAGAAACTCTGTTTCAATTCCAGCACCCAAACAAAAAAGTTGAAGATTTTTGGCATAGTCTGGTCTTTCCAGCGTAACTTTAAAAGCCATTTTATAGAACTCTCAGTATTTCAGTGACCGCAACTTGAAGACATTTCCTCCCTTGAGACTAATCTATATCTGTATACTGCCGCTTTCCTATCACCAAGCCAGACATATTTAGACGTAACCCGTGCACTGAGATTTGAAACTGGCTGTTGACCTTAATATTTTGATGTCTATACTAAAATAACCATGGTGGTGGGAATTTTTGGACTACATCTTCCCTAGAGAACAGTCTGAACTTCCTGTGCCTTGGATCAAATGCTCACACAATGAGAAGTATGAGATTAAAATATCCACGGATTGGACCCCGTGCCTGCCTGTAATCTAAGCACTTGGGAGGCACAAGCACCAGTCTTCAAAGTCACAGAGCAGGCTTAGCTACCTAGTAAGACCTTGTCTAAAAGTCAAACTAAAATATCCTCTGTAGGGCTGGTGAGATGGCTCAGAGGCTAAGAGCACTGGATGCTCTTCTAGAGGTCCCGAGTTAAATTCCCAGCAACACCTGTTAGCTCACAACCATCTGTAATGAAATCTGGTGCCCTCTTCTGGCCTGAAGGCATACATGAAGGTGGATCACTGCACACATAATAAATAAACAAATTTTAAAAATTACCCTATGTATTCAAAAACCAAATCTTCCTAACACTACTAACATTACCAATGCTATCTGAAGACTAATGTCCACTACTGATTCTCAGGTATTTATTTAGCATCTAGTTTTTCTAAGGTTCTACAACAAAAAGGATCAAATGTTAAGGAACACATAGAAAAGTAAACGTAAAGAGGGGAGGACAGAGGACTAGATTAGTCCCACAAAGGAAGAAGTTTAATCTTTAATTCAAAGGACAAATATATTAAAAAACAACGGGAAAATTCTTGAGGCCAGCCGTAGAATCCTTTTGTGCCTTCAGCCCCCGTCTGACTTTGCATCTTTTGTAGTAACAGTGGGCAAGCATCTAGCAGGAATACTCGTTCATTAACCAGTAGGAACTACAGGTAGATTCCAGCTAAGTCCAGAGCTCTGAAAAAGCCGGCTGCTCAAGGTCACTTATCAAGACCACTCCACTCGCCCCTAGTAACCTTAGACCTCAGCTGGAGCACCCAGTTTAGTTAGGGAGAAAAAAGGTCAGATTCAGAGATAAAATGCTTCCAGTCCTCTAAGCAATCTAGATAAGACATCAAGTGGTCTATTTTGAATGCCTTTGTTTCTTTATTGAAGCCACGCCCAATTCCCCTCCTGGAGGCAATACCAACAGACTGTGAGGAATCAAAGAAATTCAAAATGTGAAGTGATAACAGTCCTGGCTGCCAAATCAAAAGGTCCCCACTGCAAAGTCCTTTGCTACAGGAAGGTCCCTGAAGAGTTCTTGCACAGATGAATTTGACTGTCCCAGTTGGACTATAAAGAGAAATGATGGCAGAAAGGTCCAAACTGTAACCCCTGGAAACAGTATACACTGTTGTGTTCTGTACTGTATTCTCCTATGAATACAAAGCAAACAATAAAAAAAAAAAAACCCACCTCCTTTGGTAACAGGACAAAATGTCTAAGTACTTATTAATTTGTGGTCTCAATAGGCATTGTATGTTTGCAAGATTCCTCTTAGATTTTCAAAACTAAGACTAAAGCTAGGAAGGTCAAGGTTTATTCAAAGCTCAGAAAGAAACTGGATGGAGAGCTGTCTAAAGACACACTTTCCCATTTAAAGAAAACCCAACCACTTAGGCCAGTTGGCAGGGACAATCCTAACAAGGTTTCAACTCACTCAACACAACTCCAATCAGACTGTTCCAATCTTCTTCACCACCCTCAAGCAAAGACTGGAGAAGGTGAAATTCACCAATGTTCATATTCTGCCTCCTTAAAAACAATAAATGGAGAAGACAGTAGTGATGAATTACAAATAAATGAACTCAAGAAACGAAGCCAGAGCTGAGAATTCACTAGCACACAACAGAGTCTCATCCACGGCCCCCACTGGGCAGGTGTGTTACTTCACGAGTTCCGGGATCCGGGGGTTGATCATCCGTGCACCGTGGAGATCCCGGGACTTGTTTGTGATTGTTCTGTCTTTTGTTTTACAGCGTTTGGCAAGAGGTAAAATCGGCGCTTGTATCAGGATTCTCTTTCTAGAACTTTCCACAACACATTCTGAAAATGAGCTTTCTCTTGTTGGTCTGAGCTCTGCCATTATCCTGGATTCTCATCCACAATTAATGCCAGTTTTAATTTGTGTGCATAACTGATTATGAGACACAATGGTTTCATGAAACACCACATTGTGCATATATAATGTGTGCACAAAGACAAATCGTCTTTTCTATTTGAACAGTAGTCTTTGGAAGCACAATATGGTAGCTTACACACTTCACTGACTGATAAACAGTAGTGTTACTAAGTAAGATAAAGACTAAGGAATAATTTAAAAGAATCCGGTAGGTTCCTACATTCATTTTGGTCTTAGGTTTCAGGTAAAATGTTTTCCTAAGCAGCAATGAGGGGGTTATTGGAGAGAAAAAAAGGGAAGTAGATTATTACTTAAAATCCTTTCTAATTTATGCGTTCTAAGTATGCATTCTTAGATTCTTCCCCAAGCGTCCGGAAGTTCCTGGTTTAAATTCTGTTTTATGCTTTGATTCCTAATGACCTCTTGGCAGAGCTCCTGCAGCTCTGGAGGAAATGGCACGGGGCAAATGGCTCCCTAGAAGCAGGCACCGGGTGCGAGGGTGTGAGGGGAGGTGTTTCTCCGGCCAGCTCTTCTTCAGCCCCTTGCTGGGTCACACACCAACAGCCTTGCTACAACCTGCCTTTGACCTCACGAGCTCCTGGGCTGAATGAACACTTAACGCTCTTCGGAATCGAAGAAGCTCAATCTCAAAAGGAACATGACTAAAGCGGTGGCGATTATACTATACATCTCTTAAAAATCCCGAAGCCAGCCAGACCCACTCCTTTGAAAGGCAAACCCCTCCAGCCCACACTGAATCCTAAAGAAGAAAGCAACTCCAGCCCTGCTCCTGGCGCACGCCCCCTGGTGGCTCCAAAGGGAAGCGCAGCGACTCTTGCGCTCACTTGCTGGAGACTCCACTGTTTGGGACGCCGCGCGAGCAGGGGTGGCCCGAGAGGCCCAGCTGTCCAGAGCCCAAAGTCTCGGGGTCGCGAAGGAGCCGGCCGACCGAGCCTCTTCCACCCTCGGCCGTGGGGTGGGGGCACGTAGCTCAGCGCCCGGAAATAACGCATGCCACTTCCCCTGCCATCTCTAGTTCCAAAGCCCAGGCGAAAAAGACGAGCGTGGAGAAGCACGGAGAGGGCAGGGCGAGAGCGCAAGCGAGGCAAATGACGTGACAGGGACAATCTGGAGAACCCCAAAAAGTGCTGGAGGCTACGGTAGCAGCGAACAGATAAGGGCTGGGGCGAGAGAAATCAAACTCCACGTTTCCACGTTTCTCTAGCGCTGGCTTTCAGCGGCTCGAACCTCGCCTGGCGTAAGGTCGCAGGTGCTGTGCGGGAATTTTGACCTTCCAGCAGGTACTTTCCGATGAAGGAAAAACATCCTGTAAATTCTGGGATAAAATTGCAACATTAATGTGTGGCTGTTTCAGTTACCCGCTGGGTGCTTCCACGTGCAGGCAGGCACCTTTCTTAGTCCAGCAGCGGCTAGAGCCTACGTATTTTCTTATTTTAAGTGCTTCACCATAGTCCACTCCCAACACGAACAAGAGGAACTGCTGAGAATGTTATAGGTGACAAATAGTGGGATTTGAAAGATGACTCTTGTTTTATTTACGGTTTCCCGAAGGAGGAATTCAGTTCTGCAGGGGAACAGTCAGCTTCTCCCCCCTCCCTATTTCGGAAGTCCATGATGTCGCCGTGAGTAATCGCGTGGGTATTACTGAATTAATTTAAAAGGCTTTTGCATCGAACAAAACAATACAAAAAAAAGTCTTCAAAAGGCCTCCATCTATAGATAATCCCTCTTAAAAATGAAATTCTAACAAACTACAAGTCCACACAGTGAAAAGCCAATCCCAGTCAGAGCAGAAGGGACTTGAAACCCGAATCTGCATTCCGTCCCTCCGGTACAAGGCTCGGGGGTGGGGGAGGCTGTTTGTGCTGGTGCCCGGTGTATAATCGGGTTAATCCAGTAGACAAAGAATAAACCAATAGCCCTCCCACCTCACTTCCCGCTCCCCTTTCCCTCCCGCTCCTGCTCCCCCCCCCCCCCCCCCCGGCTTCGCCCCCCGGGCATTGGAGGGGGTGGGGCGGGCGAAGGAGACAAGAAGGTAGAACCGAAATGGATTCCGAATCGAATCTCAAAGCTTGCCACTCGCTTTCCACGCTAACCCTGTTCGGCCGGGTGAGTTTGCAACGTCCCTCCTCCTCTCCCGATGGCGAGGGAGAAAGTTCCCTAAACGAGACTAGCCTCCGGCTCGCGCTCGTGGCCTCCGGGGGTGGAGGGTGGGGGTGAGCCTTAAGGTCAGTGTTTCCTTGAAACTAGATAAACTGACCTCGCGGTGGCCAGAGCGGCCCCGCGGGCGCCCCGCGTGACGGCGCCCCGGCTGCAGGAGCGACTGGGGACGCGCGGGGCGGCGCGGTTGCCCTTTTGAATGCCTCCTGCGGCTCGGAGCGCTGGCGGGCGCTGGAGTGTGAGTGAATGTAGCCCCGCGGAGCCAATGAGCTGGGACCGGATGCGATATATCCTCTGGGACAACAACTGCTCTGTTCCGCCTCGGATCCACATGACGCCATTTACTGCTGCCGCGGCCGCTGCAGAGCTCCCTGCCTCCTCCGGAAAGGCGAGGGCGCAGGCCAGCGGCGCGCCCCCCCCCATCCCCGGCCGGGCCCCAGACCCTCCTCCTCCCCCACCGCCTCCTCTTACCCCCCCTCTCCGCACCCCCGCCCCCGCCTCGGCCTCGCCGCCGCGCCTCCGCAACGCCCAGTCTGCACGAGCGAGAGCTGCGCGCCGCAGTGCGAGCGGAGGACAGGGGCCGGCGGAGCGCGCAGCGCCCAGGCCCCCGCGCGCGCCCGGCCCGGCCCGCGGCCCCGCGCCAGCCTCCGCTCGGAAGCAGCCCGGGGCCCCCAGGACTTGGCGAGCTGGCCTTGGGTTCTTTGTAAGGCCGTGTTCGCCCCTCTTTTCTCTCGTCGACCAGGAAAAAGAGACTCGCCAACCTCGGCGCTTCGGCCTCTTGTTCATTGAGAAAAAAAAAAAAGAAAGAAAAGAAAGGGGGGAAAAAAAAGGAAATACTCCGCGTGCGCTTCTGGAAGAGAGGTCATCTCTCTACCCGAAATCCGGGAAGGTTCCTACGGTGGAGGATTGAGTTCCAAATTCTCCCGTGGTTGTTTTTCTCCTCCCACCGATTACTTGGAAGTTGGACTGAAGCAGAGTTCGGAAAGAAGGAAAAAGTTTGCATCGGGACTGGATTTATTTGCACAACGCAGAAAAGAGAATCCAAGGGAGAGGGGTTGGTGCAGAGCCGCGATCACGGTGAGGAGCGTTTGGCTTTTCCCCTCCTGGAGCCACAGACAGCCGCCAGTGGGGTCAGAGTTCTTCTCTCCCCCTGAACCCGTAGGCTTCCCGGGAGGATCGGGAATCAGCCCTGCCGATCCGTTTCGCCTAGGACAGGGGTTCGGCCACGGCCGGGCTGCAGGGTGCGTCGGTGCGGTGTCCTCCACCCCGCGACACCGCTCTCCCTTAGGGGTTCGGGGCGGAGCACGGCTCCATTGCCTCCTGCTCCTGCCCCTGCCTTGGCGGCGATCTAGTCGCTGAGAGCCCTGGTCTATCCAGGTCGCTGTTGCAGGCTCTAACATTTGCTAACCTGTTCCTCCACTCGGTATAAGGCCAAGTTATAGGAAAGCCCATCCTGCGACGGGGGGCGCCTGTGGGGCTGGGGTACTGGGTTTCTCACCTCACCGGGGCAGAAGACCCGGCGGACAAGCAGAGGGTAGGTTGCCAGGCAGAGGGAGTCCCCGCCTCTGCCCGGTGTGGACAGTCTAGCCCGGTGCGGGTGGGAGCGTCGCCCAGCCTGGCGCCGCGTCTCTGCGGTTCGGAAGTGCGGCTTTCTCTTTTTTCCGTTCTTCATGGTCGGCCTGGGTCATGCTTTTTTTTCTTTTGGACGCTTGGGCTGACCTAGCAAGGAAGAGTTATCAAGTGGTCGCGATCGTTTTCCATTACCCGAAAGTAGGTGACTTTTAAAAAAAAGTAAAAAGGCTAGTTTTCCCCCTCCCTCTTTTGTGTTACTGTTTTTTAAGATTTGGAGTCTTAACGCGTTTTTTACAAAGGGGTTTCTGTGTCGGTTTGCCCCACCCTAGTGCTGAAGTCCTTTCCCCCTAATCCTTAGTCTGCTCACACACTGTTCTTAATGGGGGTTTCAAAGCACTCAGAGGGGGAGGGAGAGGAACTGGGAGAGCGCAGAGGGGTGGAGGGGGCCTGCGAGGAAGACGGCCAGGGAGCGGTAGAAATCACTTTTTCTTTTCCCACCCGAAAGATGCTACTTCCACGGCAAGTCCTCTCGGAAAGTTTCCAATCCCAGGGGTCCGAGTCCAGCAAGACTGGCGTGTGCAGTGGGGCTCTGGATAAAGCTTTTTTCTTTCGGTTTAAGAAATATGTCTTTTTCTTGATCTAAAAGGAGGTAGGCGTGTGCAGATTGCAGACAGTGCTCGCCTCGGTCATTGCACGTTGGAGTTTCTCTGGGAGCGTGGGTGCATAGACTTCTGTGCAAGCTGTGCGTCCCGGCCTGGCTCTCTTCCTCCAGGCATCGAATTTGGAAACTTGTGGGGACGGGCGTTTTTTGAGGGCCTTCGCAGAAACACCTTGTGGTGACCTTGCTGCAGGGGTGGGCGTGTTGGAGTGGCTCCCCCCCCCCCTTCTTGGGACTGGCTGGCTGTTCTCTCGGGTTGGGGGAAATTTTAGCTGAGGGGGTGGAGGAGGGGAAGTGTGCTCCTGCGTGCGTTTCACAAGTCCCCTTCGGAGGCGCCCGCGCCCCCTGCCTGCCTGAGCTTCTGGGGGTTTGCACGCAGGAGGGGCCGGCTTGGCCCCTCGAAGCGTCAGTCAGCCCGGAGAAAAGTCCCCGGGGTTCTGGCTGAGTCCCACCTGCTAGGACTGTGGGGGCGCAGATAGAGCCGATAAACGGAGTGAAAGCAAAGAACAGCCTTGTGTACCTGGCAGTCGAGGTGAGCAGATCGGTTTCCAGCTCTGCCTAGTTCTGAATTAGGAGGCGTTTGTCACCTGCCTTGCTCGCTGTCCTTTTCCAAAAAAGCAAAGGTTGGATTAAAAGTCCGTTTTCTGCTTGTTTTCCTTCGTATTTTTATGAGGGCTTGGGAGAGGGCGGTGCTTTTTAAATCTAAGTCTGATTGTAACTTAAGCGATTACTTGACAGAATGACAGGTTCCAGCCATGACACTACGGATTTCTAAAGCTTTTCCTACTGCTGTTACTGCTTTGTGTTGCTGGGTATTTTTCAAAATGAGGAAATAACGTGCTTTGTTTTGGTTTTTTTTTGCATGCTTTATTTATGAAACAGGAGGAATAACTGGGATTGAGATTCTAAGGCTAGAACCATAGGCCTGTACAATATATAATTCTCCAGCTGTGGGAAATATATTTTGCTCTTAGGAGTTTCTTGTGATACCTAATGGGAATCGAAATGACTTGTTTTAATTCTCTAACTTTGTACTGCTTTATTTAAAAATGCAACCTTAATTGTCCTCGGAATATTCTTTCATATCATATGGGATTGGGAAAAGGTACTGCCTAGACAACTCGTGCTGCGTGACGTAAAAAGCTGACTTAAAGCAAGACTGTTGTAGGTACTTATTTCTGTTGAATGTAAGAACGATCTTGACAAATTTAAACCCGTTTGGAAATCTGAAGGGTGTTTGACCTCTGAAAATGTTGGTAGGACTCCCTGCAAGGCTCCAGCGTTTGCTTTCTTCCAGTTTTTACATTGAACCCAAGCCTTCTAAATTGCGTGTTTATTTGATTAAAGGATTGTTACTTAAGTGACCCTACAAAGATTAGCTTTGTGTCACTGCACATTTTGAGATTCCAGGATTGTGAGTGTCCGGCCATGATTTTCACTTTTGAGTGCTTGCCCTGACCATTTGGCTGTTCTACCTCACCCCTGCTGGTGCGTTTCCAGTCCTGTTTCTCCGGGACGTGTGGGAAGTGAAGAGTCAACGCTGGTGGGTGGAGAGTGGGAAGTCTTGAGTGTAAACCATTTTCTTTCCTCTTGGTTTCCCCAGGAGTTCAGATGTGTTCTAAGCCTGCTGGAGTGAACACACTGCCAAGACCTGATGGAGGCCAGAGCTCAGAGTGGCAGCGGGTCGCAGCCTCTGCTGCAGGCACCCCATGACAGTGGCAGGCAGCGTGGGGAGCCGGACCCCAGAGATGCCCTCATGCAGCAGGTACACGTCTTGTCTCTGGATCAGATCAGAGCCATCCGAAACACCAATGAGTACACAGAGGGGCCCACCGTGGTCCCAAGACCTGGGCTCAAGCCTGCTCCTCGCTCCTCCACTCAGCACAAGCACGAAAGACTCCACGGTCTGCCCGAGCACCGCCAGCCTCCCAGGCTCCCGCCCTCGCAGGTTCATTCTTCAAGGGCCCCTCTGTCCAGGTCCATCAGCACGGTCAGCTCAGGGTCTCGGAGCAGTACAAGGACAAGTACCAGCAGCAGCTCCTCAGAACAGAGGCTGTTAGGATCTTCCTTCTCCCCGGGGCCTGCTGCTGATGGGATAATCCGGGTGCAGCCTAAGTCTGAGCTAAAACCCGGTGAGCTTAAGCCACTGAGCAAGGAAGACTTGGGTCTGCACGCCTACAGGTGTGAGGACTGTGGCAAGTGCAAGTGTAAGGAATGCACCTACCCGAGGCCCCTGCCGTCGGACTGGATCTGTGACAAGCAGTGCCTTTGCTCGGCCCAGAACGTCATTGACTATGGGACTTGTGTGTGCTGTGTGAAAGGCCTCTTCTATCACTGCTCCAACGACGATGAGGACAATTGTGCTGACAACCCGTGTTCTTGCAACCAGTCCCATTGTTGTACTCGGTGGTCGGCGATGGGTGTCATGTCTCTCTTTCTGCCTTGTTTATGGTGTTACCTTCCAGCCAAGGGTTGCCTTAAACTGTGCCAGGGGTGTTATGATCGCGTGAACAGGCCCGGATGCCGTTGTAAAAACTCAAACACGGTTTGCTGCAAAGTTCCCACTGTCCCCCCCAGGAACTTTGAAAAGCCAACATAGCATTATTATTAATCAGGAATATTACAGTAATAAGGATTGTTTCTCCACCTTTTTTTTTTTAACACACATATGCAACCAACTAAATAAACAGCTGTAATCTCGGCACTGTTAATAGAGGGATAGAGTATTTGTCGTTTGCAGTGAGATGCTTTTTTTTTTTTTTTGTCCATGTGCCATTTTTAACTGATATGCTTGCTAGAACTCAGCTAATGGAGCTCCGAGGGGAGGCAGTGGAAGTTGGTGACCCACATACTGCAGAAGCTAAAGCAGCAGACACTCCTAGGCAAAGTTTCTCGTTTGTGAATAGCCCTTGCAAAATTTGTAAGTTAGCAGATGACTCCCGGCCCCCGTTGTTTTCTCCAGAGATAATGTGCTATATTTTTGTATATACGATAATATTTGCAACTGTGAAAAACAAGTTGTGCTGTACTCCATAGCACAGTCACAAAATATTATACTAATATGTTGTACATTCGGAAGAATGTGAATCAGTCAGTATGTTTTTAGATTGTATTTTGCCTTACAGGAAGCCTTTGCTGTAAGACTCTGATCTCCCTTTTGGACTTGATGTATATTGTACAGTTACAGTAAAATTCAACCTTTATTTTCTAATTTTTTCAACATATTGTTTAGTGTAAAGAATATTTATTTGAAGTTTTATTATTTTATAAAAAAAGAATATTTATTTTAAGAGGCATCGTAAATTTCGCCCCTTCTATGAGGATGTGACGGTTGCTGCAAATGAGGGGTTACAGATGCATATGTTCAATATAAAATAGAAAATATATTAACGTTTGAAATTAAACTGAGCTTGTTTTATCTTATTTTACCGGTTTTTTTGTTTCTTTCAAATGTAATAAGCCACGTTTTCTGTCAAGGCGTTCTCCGATAGTTTGCCTCCCTGGACAAGGCCCCTTTATGACGGCTGCTTTAAAGTAGGCGAGTCCAGTGGCTTTCAGAGATGATGCTACTACCTTCAAGACAGAAAACAACTGAGGGTTAGAGTCTGACTTGCTTTATGTTTATGAGAACGTCCTTTGGCTTTGTGGGCCCGTTCCCAGTTTCTTTGCAGACCTGTTGGCTTGCCCTGGTTCTACAGGGCATTTCTGTGCTGTTATTTTGAGCTTCTTTAGAAGACATTCCAAAAAAGATTAATGGTTAGAATTTTTTTCCTAACATACAGTATTAAAAATGAACGTCAAAGATCCTCAAAACTAGAGGAACAAGTTTGTTCAAGTACTGAGTGTCAAACGTGGAACATACCTATACCCAGATGGATCCTTACAATGGAACAAATGTTTCCTTGACTTAGCTGGTCATGGCTGGTTTTTTTTTTTTTTTTTTTTTTTTTTTTTTTAGTGTATATTTGGTTTAGATTTGGTTAGTTTATCACCGTCATACCAGATTCTTGGTGTTGGAGGAAAAAAAACATTAAAAATGCTGTTTGGATTCAGGTATTTGGTAGGAAGGACTTTTCATACTCCATTGGTTAAGTAATTCAAATCCAAGTATGCCAGCTTCTATCTCTGACCTACTGAATCAAATTACATAGGAAGTTACTCAGTATTACTCCTGTTTTGTAAAAGGTGCATATGGCAAAAAGTCAGTGTGCTCAGAGCTGACCTTGGGGAACAAAGACACCTCAAGCTGCTGCAAGCCCATCTTGACAAATATTAGTCACTTTGTGGTTGGTGATTTTTTTTTTTCCCAAAAGCATAACATTTGCTGCCAAGAATCCCCGGAAGTCTAGGAAATTATTTACCTGCCATTATAGTTTAATCTCTTGTTTCCTGTTCTCTTGTGTGAAGAGGTCTTAGGACAAGCTGTCTTCTGTTTTGTTTTTCAAAATGGGCTTTCAAGGAACCCTATGGCTGCCTAAACTCTGAGGACCTTCAGTCCTCTGAACTTCCTCCAAACAACACAAGATTCAATTAATTTAGAGCTTGCTTGTTTACTTTTAGCTTCAACTTGGAGATACTGAACGTTCGTGGAATGCTGGGTTTAATGTGCGTTCTTAAATGTCTCACTGGTGATTTAAGGAAGAATTAGAAAGTTGGAAAATGAAGCAAGGTTTCTTACTCATGGTAGTCTTAAAAGATTTGTAAAGCGCAATAATTCTGACTAATTAGCATTGTTCGTCATAGTGCCTTATGCATAGAGCGAGCTTTTTGGGGGGAGTGTAAAAATTGTGAAAGTCGAACTTTTCTTGGACTGTGTAAGCAGTTTTCAGAGTATTCTGTGCACAAGTTGCAGCAGATGCCATCGAGTGTTTATTGAAGTTAGATTAAAAACTTTTAATTACCAAATCAGAATCTCTGATGTGGCCCAGAGATTTGCATCTGCCATCATTCCACAGCAAGTTATCTGCAGTCTGGGGCTGCTGACCTAGGGGACTGGGTTCTAGTTGAGCATGCTTTTAATGAACTCTGATAGCAAACATACTCACTGATTTGGATATTAAATGATAGCTGAAGTTCAGATAGAGGACTTGATACATAAATAGGTTAAGTGCTGGTGGAATTAAAGTACAAAGGGAACTTGGATTCCTCAAGGAGTTTCTAACTGACCTCTTCAGTGTTGAATTTATTTATACCAGTACAGAATTCGTTTTTAGCATATGAAAATTAAATGTTTACGACTAGATTAAAAATAGTTGGGTCTAACATTCTTTGTGCTAAGAGTTAAATGTAATCACTTGGGAACAGATGGGGTTTCTATTGACACTTGAAGATCCCAGTAAAATACAGTGATTTGGTGGATCCAATGACCACAGTTTGGTGTAATGGATGAAAAGTAACTATAGGCAAAAATAACTGCTAAGTCTTGGGACTGCTACACAAAATGTATCTTGTCCTAAAATTTTTTTCATAAACCCGTGTCTACTCAGCCTTTGAGATTCACTTACCAATGACAACTTGACTGTTGCTATTTGAAACATTCATTTATGTGTTTTGAGGAGGAGATTTAAAGGCCTTGCCAAATTTCTGCCATGTTGGAGCATGCTCTGGGGATTGTCTGAAAGAAACAAGCCAAACCCAACTGTTGGCATAACATCTTTCTCCAGTACACGTCTGTCCCAAGGACTGCTCAGCTCTAGAGTACCTGAGGGATTGGTGATGTCAGATCAAGGAGTTTGCTCGTTGCACAGTGCCGAGAAGTGGGCTGGCTGTCATTTATTGTGTGTGTAATCAGAGGCTTACTGGACTTGGAATTTCGGTTGTTATATCCACAAGTGACCATTTAACTTCTCTTCTAAGTGTCCAAAAGGACCACAGCATGGCTGTAAAGTCAGTTTTGATCATGATTAAATTCTAGATCAAAGAGTAATTTGTTTTGAACTCACGATCTAGCACAGGATAGAGTGTTCAATGCGTGTGAGAGAGACCCAGGTACACACAAAAACCACATTTTTTTAATCTTACTGATATTTTGCACTATTTTACTAAAGACCATCTTAAGAGGTGTAGCTCAACTGGCAGAGTACTTGGTGTCCCACAAAAAGCCCTGGCTTCAACCTCTAGAATAACACAAATGAGACATGGAAGTACGAACTCGTACTTTTGGCACTCAGTAGTTGAGACAGGAGGATCAGAAGTTCAGAGTTTGGCTACACACTGAGTTCAAAGCCAGTCTAGCACACAGGAAACCCCATCTCAAACAAAACAAATATGAAAATCGGTTATTAGGAAATTGTGTTATTTTGCCAGTGACTAATCTTCTGTTGACTGTATCAAGATTAACAGCATATGAATTTCTATTTTGACTTGGAGGAATGCATCATTTCTCACCGTTGAGGAAAGCAGGTCAGGAATTTATCAAGGTCTGCCTGGTTTGGCTGACAGTGGTCATGCTGGTGAAGATCCACTTCTGAGGTATTTCATCTCGGGTTTGGCTATTCATCAAAAGAGAAAGCAATTAGGTAGGCTGGAGGTACGCAGTCCTACAAACTGGCTCAGAAGCCAGGCCTCCCCAACTTGCTTCCATCACCTGTGAATACTGGAAACATTTACAAGAGCACTGTGCCTCGGGTCCGAACAAGTAGTTATTAGCTAGGGGTCCAAAAACACCAAGGGGACGGAGGGTGTGGCTCAGTAGATGGTGTTTGCCTCACTCACTTGAGGGCTGTGATTCAGGTACCCAGAAGCCAGGCAAGGAAGGAGTGGCTGCTACCTGTAATCCCTGAACAGAGATGCAGAGGTGGGACCTCTAGGTCAGGTCTGTCTCAGTATGTCTGGGGAAGATTGATTAAGGAAGATACTCAGCTTTCACTTCAGACCTCGCAGGTGCGTGGACACACACATGAACACGTATGCGCATGTTTGTACACCTGGCGCGCACGCGCACACACAAACAGTTCTATCTTGGTGACCGTGCCTGCAATCCCAGAAAGAAGATTGCTAATGTGACGCTAAGCTGGGCTTCATAAGGGACGCTTGCAACATAGCCTGACACAGAGACACGGACAAAAATAAAACAGGGATGGAACGTGGTAGCTCACAGAAGGAGCAGTTAAGCATTTACGCGAGCTCACACATCTATGGATGGCCAGGAAATATTTTGATTGATTTACTCTGTCTTTGATAACTCCCTGTTAGAAATAAAGGAAATTAGGATGGAGCTTTGGCCTCCTGCTTGGCTGGATGGAGGCATTTATTGCTTTATCATATCTGCAGTTTATTTCTCAAAACGGTTGCTGATACACAGGAATTGCGCTGATTAGTAAAGCATTCATTCAACATGCATGAAGGGCAAAACAACCACATGGCAGTTCAATTTAATTTTTTCATTTATTGAGACATAGACTCCACCCCAAACTGGTCTCAGATTCGTAGTTCTCTCTGGAGGGCTGGAATTACTGCCCATAGCCTGGTCTGTTGATTTCTGAATGCCTACTGCAGAGGAATCAGGGCTAGGCAAGCCGATGTGAAGGCTAGCAACTGCAGTTCTAGCAAGTCTTGTAAGAGCACAGGAAGAAAGAAGTAAGGGCATAGTCTCACAGTGGGTTTGGTTTCCACCACACATCTGTGCTGTGGCTGCAGATACATAGGGAAGTGCAACAAACTTCGCATCATTCATCAAGTGAAACGCTTTTCCAAGGTCAGAATTTAGTAAATCCCAACTCAAAAGCGCAGGAGTTTGATAAATATTTAGCTAGCTGTATTTGTTATGATTGCTTGTTTGCTTGTTTCTTTATGTAATGTAGCCCAGGCTGGTGGCCTCTTTACA